CAGAATTTTTCTTCTCATAATCAATAACAATAAGATGTAATTTGTTGAGCCAATGTTAAGCATAAAATTTTAAATTTTCATTACAAAAGGTTTAAAGGTTAGCAAGTTAAGTTAGTACAATTGAACATTTGATACTTGTCTTAAAGCTCAAACCCCAAACTGGCTTCAAAAACTTGGGTATAATCACTTGAGCTATGTTCAAGTTCTACTATAATTGACACTTAAAATTTTTATCTTTTGAAAGCTTTCCTTAATACTATTGTTATCAATGGTATTTTTTTTTTTCTATGTATACAACTAAGATCACTCAATTTTAGTAGTATTCATAACAAATCAAAATCCTTAATTTCACACATTAAATCCTATAATTTTAACCAATCAAAAAACATCATTTTTAATTGTGAGATTGGATACAAGAATGAGGGGGAGGCATGTGATGTGTATCAATGTGGTAGAGCATACCTTTGTATACCTGCCCCTAGTGCGAGCTAGGGCCGACTACATTGGTTACTATATTTGTGTGGACGTTCGAAATGTGATCACTTTTGATTGATGCGTTATATTTAATCATAAGAAGTCAAGTATTTTGTTGGTCACATTAAAAATATCATGTTATTTGAGATACAAAAAATATTGGACTTCTTCAATATTCTTTATGTGGCCCACAAATACGTGTCCTCTTGGACATGGGGCCACTCCATCAGTTGGACACACTAGAATTTTGGACAACAATAGCAAAATTGCACCTAATCTGATGTGGTGCCTTTTATGGATGAGCCTCAATACGTATGTCTATTTCACAGACAGGTTAATGTAATTACTGTCATGTAAAAGATCATATCAAATTATGTCAACTTGGTATCCAAGTAGATCACTTTGACATTAATGATAAACAAATATATCAAATTAGAAAAGAAAAGAAAAAAAAATTGTGAATGAGGTGTTTGTGGGAAAAGAAAATTGTGATGGGAGGAGAAGAGCCAATGCAATTAGTAGGGGGATGGATGGTGTTGGGGACATCATGTTTGGTGAAGTGTGGGGGACATGGGGGGAAGGGAATGGCTTGTGGAATAAAAATGAAATGTTTCCTGTGCATACAACAAGTATGTCTGGTGAAGGAGGGTTGATGAGGGTACAAGGTGATTGGCCATTGCCTACATGTTTATTCAGTCATTTATATACATAAACTGTACAATGCTTTAATTCTGGATTTTATCATATATGCCCATACAGTGTCTTTGTATGTGTGTACTCTATTAGGGGGTGAATTTGACCAACACCCATGTCACATACAATATCACATTTTTATTTTATTTTGAACTTATTATCGTATTTCTCTATACAATATTAGTGTAATGTGTCTCACCATTCATGTATAATTTTAATGTAATGCCAACAATTATTAAATTAGCACATCATATCATAGAAATAGATAATCATTATAGTATTACTCTGTCACATATATACTATGTGACAAAACTTTGGAAATTTAATTATTTTAAAACTGTAATAAAAAAGAGTACTTGGAACAAGAAAATAGATCATGTACACATTTCACATGTCCATTTTTAGTTACTGAATTAATGTCTAATCTTTTTGCATTTGAAGAATGTTTAATATGATGATAAGTTGTCGTGGCTTATCCAAAAAGATTTTCAATATAATTAGAAGTATGTTTCAAATAGCATATATAGATACGTTAATGTGGTAGTTTTAAAAGAGACGATAGAACTAAACCTAATATATTGTGTCACAATTAATTTGATTCTTGTTTTGAAGTATTTAATTTGTCCATTGGAGATCTTATTTGTTTTGAGAAGTTTTTGTCAACCAAGAAAGTATGATCTGGTGAAGGATAAAAAGAGTTGAAGAGAGAGACGTAAAGTATCACATATGTCTATTAGTTAATCTAACAACTAATAATTAATTTTAGCAATTAAAAAGGAAAGAAAGAAAGAAAAGGTAACAACTATGTGCATGAGATCATTTATGAGAGAAAAAATATACAAAAATGAGCCTTTCCTAACTATCAAAGAAGATGAACTTGAAATGTAGAAGAATGTAAAAAGAGTTTGATAGAGAGAAAATGGTGGAGAATATCTATTGACATATTGAGTAATAGAGGGTAAAAAATGAGGTGCATATAGATATAGTCACATGTGGACTTATATGTGAACGGCAATCAATAAGAAAAAGGACACATGTAACACTTGCCATTACCTCTTCCTACATGGCACAAAGTATTGGATGCTTGCGGTCATGGACAGGAGGCCTTGCTTTGCTTTGCTAAAACTAAATATGCCTTTTACGAGAGAAATTTTTTTCGAAATACAGAAATTGATAAATATTGTTTTAAAATTTTTTATTAATATATAAGAAAATTTTATAATGGACTTGAAACCAGCGAAACCCTAGAGTTAAAAGGCCTACTTATTTTTAAAGATAGGTGTCGGGATTAGATTGACAGTGAGAAGGAGATAACAATTGTCATATTTGTTTTCAATATGAACCACCGGATTTGTTGTCCCTTAACTATGAAAGGCCTTGAAAGAGAGGAATAGTTTAAAAAATGAATCCCTTAGGACTATAGGAAATTGACTATTTTACCCTTGTATTTATTGCTAAATTTATTAATATTAATAATTTAATATAAAATTAATTTTTAATATTAAAATATAATAAAATAATATAGTACCAACAAAACATATGTTTATAAAATATAATTTTTAAAATTAAAATATATATAAAAGCTTTCTATCCAAAGGTCTAAATTTGGATTTTCTTTGTCCAAAGGTCCAGACTCAAAAATATTTTGTCCATAAGGACATGCTTAGGTAAAATGACCAAACTATCTATATACATATACACCCTTCTCTCTTCTCAACCCCTTATTTCTCCAAACCCTACTCTCTCATCATCATCTCTTTCTCTCTCTATATCTCTTTTTCTCTCCCGCTATCTCTCTTTTTTTCTTCCCTTTGTCGCTTCTCTTACCGCCGTCAGCAGCGTCACCGATGGTCAGATCGAAGTCAATCTAGAGTCCTTACTTCCGGATCTAGTATTCAAATCACCCAGTACCTTTGAATCGAGTCCAGATCGCATCTAGGGCAACCAAACCCTCCTCACCAAGATCCTTTATAACCAAACCCTCATTGACGATGAATCAAACATCTTCATCAAGACCAAGAACCTTGACAAGATCGATCGTGAGGCCTTGAAGGAGATAAATAAAAAGGAATTACTTGGAGTGAAGAAAAATTGTCTAAGCGAAGGGCATCAACAGAGATGACAACCTTGGCGATAGGTTGAGAATCGACGGAGGCGGCGAAATGAGGGTGAGATTGAGATTGCCATGACTTTGTTACCACCAGTGGACACTTCATCAGCCATACCGATCTCTTCAATTTTCTGGTATCCAAAAAACCATTACTACTACTACTATTAGTACTGCTGTTGTGATTACGTTCTTCCTCTATCTTTGTGCACCCCCTTCTTTTTATGTGTTGTCTGTTGTTGGGCTTAATCCATATCATCTGGAACTTGAATGACGCAAATTTCGATCTGCGTGTCTCCGACATCCTCGTCGTTATCTATGCTAGTGCTGCTGTTGTCGGTGTTGGCGAGTTCAAGTTTGGAGGTTACAATTGGGGAGAGATTAAGGTTAGTCTTACGGTTAAGGTTAGGGTTAAAGTTAGAGGAGGAATAAAAGGTTTCAATATTCACACACAAACTAGGGTTTTTAGATTCAAAACTCTTCCATCCATGGATTCCACGAGCTCAATCACAATTTCCAATTCGCCCTACCGACTTCTCCTTACAGCGGCTTCTCTAAGCCCCATTTCTAGATCTCTTTCTACATTTATCTATTAAATTGTTATTTTAACAAATAAAAAAAAATTGAACAGATAAAAAAATTGAACTACTAAAAAAAAAAATCAACAGATTAGACCTTCAACAGATAAAATATAAAATTGAGCAGAATAAAAATGAATAGATAGGAAAATGATTTGAACAGATAGAAAATAATCTAATAGATAGAGACAAATTGAACAGATAAAAAAAATTAAGCAGATAGGTTAAAGGGAAAAATTAGAAATAAAATGTTTTCAAAAATAATAAAATGTATTTCTTACCATAATATTTTATAGAGAGTGTATTTCTTATCAAGAAAAAATATTCATGGGACTTAATGCTTTATGGGTTTGGGGTGGCTGCTATGTGGGGGTCCATTTCGATAATCTGAACCGTTCATATTTTAGAAAACATCAAGTAAAACATGTCTTCTAAAAATCAAATTAATCGGATATCGTTTACCCATTCATCCACTTACATTTGTATTCATTTTAACACTTTAAATCATAATTATTATTTATTTTTGCAAATACAAATGTGAGTGAATGAATGGGTAAACGATATTTGATTAACTTGATTGTTTGCAAGCATATTCTACTTGATGTATTCTAAAATGTAAACGATTCAGATTATTGAATTGTGCCCCAAAATAGGCCCATTTAGCTGCACTGCAGTGGCTGCTATACCCCGCATAGCAACCATCCCAAACCCATGCCTTATACCTTCTTTAGATTGAATTTTTCAACAATTTTTTCTATATATAAAATATTAAGGCTATTTATGAAATTTCATATAACTAACCCCATCATAGAATGGCAAAACAAATATAAATTCTTACTATAATCATAAAATATATAATTTTTTTAAATTTACTCGCTAATAATTTCTTTTACCAACAATTCTTATACTAACCATCATATTCAATCCACTTTTGAAAGCAAACAAGCCCTAAAAGGGTTGTGTGGGTGCCAGTGTTTTCGGCTCTCACGTGATAGGGATACAAGCGTGCCAAGGTACTGATGTGCGATAAGGTCTACAAACGCTCAATGGTGAGGACGCACCAAGCAAGGAGTGGTTAAGCAAAGACTCCAAAAATTTTAGTGACTTTTTATATGCATAGCTATAGCATATATAGGCATATGTACCAAGAGCAATACACAGAACAGGAAGAGAGAGAGAGAGAGAGAGAGAGAGAGAGAGGCAGATTCTTCCTTTTTCTAAGGCAATTGTAATTTCTTCTAACCAACAAAACGTGCAGAAGATAGAGACAAATATATATATATATATAGAGAGAGAGAGAGAGAGACAGAGAGAGAGAAGAAGAAGAAGAATGGACAGAGAGAGTGAAATGAAGCAATCCAAGTTCAAGAGGGTTTGTGTCTTCTGTGGGAGTAGCCAGGGGAAGAAAAGTAGCTACCAAGATGCTGCTATTGAGCTTGGCAAGGAATTGGTATATTATTGCTTTCATGCCATTAATGCCTCTGTTTCTTCTATGGGGGTTTCATGGTGTTCTCTTTTTGGGACCTTTCTTCACTTGGGTTGTTGACAAATGTTGTTTTGGCTCTTGGGTTTTGTTTGAAATGTGTTTCTCACGCTTTTTCTCTATTGGATTTGATGTAGGTTTCTCTTGAAATCATGTAAATCTGTTTGTAAGTTGGTTCATAGGTCTTTTTTCATTTAGAAATAATCAATGTTTTCAGCTCTGTTTCTAAACAGAGCGCTCTCTCTCTCTCTCTCTCCTCTCTCTCACTGTGTACCTCTTTCTCTCTTTTTTACATTTGTGCAAACTTGAGAGGGTTTAATCTGCCCCATTAGGGTATAGTTTTATTTCAAATGGGTTTATCATATATCCATGTTTGATCTCTAAAAAAACTATTTTCTTCCAAAAGATTTGCTTATACACACTGTTTGGGCTGATTTGACTTGGCCTCTTGAAGGTTTCAAGGAACATTGATCTGGTTTATGGAGGTGGAAGTATAGGCTTAATGGGTTTGGTTTCACACGCTGTTCATGATGGTGGTAGGCATGTCATTGGGTGAGCTTCCTTCTCTTCCACTTCAATTTTGATCTCAAAAATCTCAAAACAAAATTAAAAATAGCAATAAAGAAATACATTTTAAGTAGCAAGATCAATGAGTTGGGTCTGTAGTTGTTACTGGTTTTGGTCCCTATTACAATTAATTTTTATTTTGTCATGTTATTGTCTCTCTTGCAGAGTTATTCCCAAGACGCTCATGCCTCGAGAGGTATATCTGATACATCCCAAAAAAGTCTTAGACCTTTTCTTATTTTAATTAAAATTGATTAAAGAAAAATGGCTTCAAATCTTCTGATCCCAAATCTTTCTACTCTCTTATTATAATGCATACTTTAAATTTGTGACTCGAGTTTATTACATGATTTAGCGGTTGAGAGTGTATTCGGTGTGATTTTAAATAAAAGTATTGGGATATATATTCGTATTAGCGATACAGTCAATATTAGACAATATGACCAATATTAATGAATAACAAGGACAATATGATACGTACTAGTTGACGTTTAAAATCTTAATATTGAGACTAAAAAATTTGAAGACAAAATTATTGACCAAAGAAACCACCACTAATCTACTTTTATTTTTCTTTTTTCCACTAATTTGCGTAGTTCTATTGTTATTTCTTATCTTGCTTCCTTTCTTTTCAAACCTTTTCTTTTTCTTTCTTTTTGTCTAAGCTACTTTCTTTTCCTTTTGCATTAATATATTGCTCATGAGTTTTGTTTAAAGTTAATCTTTTTTACTTTGTAATATTGTTTTTCCTTTTGGTTCTTGGGATATTTTTGACATTCACACCACCATATTAGATAGTATTGTCCAAGTACTTCACCCTTTTATATATATTTTTGGGCTTCAAATGTTTTTTCTTATTTTACCTTTTGTGATACATAGCTATGAGCATTTCCTCATTGTGTTTTTTCTTCTTGGCTTTTTATGTAAGATTCAAATTCTTTATATTTATACATATATATAATACCACACATCCATATGGTGGTCTACTATTGGCTCTGGAAATGCTGACTCATGGATTTGGATTAAGTGCACCATTCCTGAAAGCCTCATCATTGCTTCACTGCACAAGTGCACAACAATCAATACAAATTTGCAGTCTTTTTCTCTCTCCTCTCTCTTCTCTCTTCTCTCTCTCACTAAAAAGATTACAGTTTTTTTAACATTGCTTTCTGGGTTTTTGGTACCCATTTGCAGTTGACTGGTGAGACAGTAGGGGAAGTGAAGGCAGTTGCAGATATGCATCAAAGGAAAGCAGAGATGGCTAAGCACTCAGATGCTTTTATTGCCTTACCTGGTTAGTAGAAAAAATATTCTGACTTTTTGCACTAAAATTCTAAAGCAAATCAACACAAGCCAAAGGCCTTCAGATTCTTTTATTTTTCTAATTCTAGCATAAAAGATTTTGACCATATCTCTCCTGTTTTGGTTCTTTCTAGAGTTGCTAAAAGCCACCTAATTCGTGTTTAATTCTATGTTTGTCTCTTCGTTTAAGAAAGCATATATATACTATAAAATGAAAAAAAGTAAGTGGAAGTCCTTTAGGAGATGTTTGGTGTTACTTTTTTTAATTTTAAGAAAACTGATAATTAAAAAGTAAAAACTAAATTCCCCCTTTATTCAGCTTTCAACTAATCAAATTTTTTTTTTTAGTTTATCTGAACTATTTATACCTCATAAACTATAAGTAAATATATGTGCACATATTTTCAAAAAAATTAAATAAAATTATATGTAACTCCAATAAGCTGAACCAAACAAGTCCCGAGTCCTGTTCAAAAAAAAAATTAAAAAAATACAAGCCCTAAGTCAAACATAGGCCTTTTGGCTTACCTTGTTCCTCAAGAAACTGCTGTCTACTTGTTTGATACAAGTTTGTGAGAGAGAAAAACACATGAAAAATGAAAATGAGAGGCATTATAACAGTCCCCAAAAAAAGACTACTATCTATGGTATTGGACCTGTTGGTAATGCTGTGAAAGGAACTGTGTGAAGCCTAAATGATCACAAGCTCTGAACTTTTCCTCACAAACCCCAAGGCACATCATTAGAGGGCATCCTTTCAAACCCTGCTTTGTTGACCCATCAACATCTTACACTGAAAATTAGAGCTTCTGATCCTGAATAACGTACTTCTGTTGTTTACTCCTCTGTATGACCCTTTTTCCTTTAATAGCCTCTGATGACAAAAACTTTCCTTTACCATATTAAGGATAAAGAAGTCAGGAGGAGATGCAAAGTTACACTTTGATCAAGTAGTTTTTGCCAAATAGCACCAGGGTTCTGCACCCAACAAGGAGTCGTGTTCAACCCTTCTAGTCTTCATCCTATCCTGTTGTGTTCAGTCCTTTAATGTGGTTGAACTGTGAAGATGGGGAAAAAAACTGTTGGGGTAAACCAGTAATTTTACTATTGATAGGTTGCAACTCAACCAGCCCCTCCTAACTCCCCAAGAGTAATTCTACCTATCCAAATAAAAAGAGTTAATTACACTAACTTCCCCCGAGGTTGGAGAATATATAGTAAGCCCACAAGTAGTTCATTGTTTATTACATTGAGCTTGCCTAAGGCTTTCATTCACATAATGCTTAGCCCATTTTCATTAGTAATTCTTAGTCATATAGATGGAACAATGATGTCATCTTTTAGATTGAAATGTATATTTTATTTTGTTTTTCTGTGTTTTCACACTACTTGCATTGGAGAAGTTATTGGTTGGTCTTGGGGCAACACCACGTGATGCCCCAACAGTGTTGTGATTGGTGGAGGGAGTGGGACTCACGAAATTGTGTTGGGTGATTGAGAAACATAAGGGGACATTGTGAATTATGATTGGTAAGGGGTATGGTCACGTGGCGCCCTTGGACTAACCAATGATTTTTCTTTGCATTGACTCTGATTCATTTAGCTTTATAAAAGGGAAATTAGTGTAATTATTTTAAAATTGGTGAGATGGTTGTATTCTTTTCAAATCTCAAGAGAGACCAGTGTAATAAGAAAAAATCACAAAAGGGGGTTCATAATGCATATGCAATACTATCTTTATCTTGTTGGAGAGCGTGGGCCCCGGCCAAAATAAATGTAGTGTTGTTAGCAAAACATTTTGGACACTCATGGAAAAATGTATGGGTATGTATTGTGTCCCACTCCCACGAGGCAAAACATAAAAAATGAATAAATAATGAAATTATGTTACATAGTAGTTTGAGAGACATTATGACCTGATTAGGTTGCCAGAAGGTTATGGGGTCAATAAATACCAAGTTTTGGAAAATGTAAAAAGGCTGTGGCCAACTGGTCACCTAACCATCTTCAATGCCATGAGACCATGATGACCACCAAATGGAATGTAATAGACTGTAATCATTCTTAGTTACAGAGTAATTCTGGTCTAACCATCAAATGATTGAACAGTCAGTAAATTCATGTTTGTAAAACCATTTTATGCTCAAGTGATTGTGTTCGCTCAACGCTACAAAAGATTTATGCTTGCAGTGTTAGTTTGTTAGATGCCTTTGCCCTTAGATTCTCTGATAGTCTTGCAATTGTAGTTTAAGCAACGGCAAAGTTAATAATTTGACCAATAACCTCAGACTGACCAAATTTTCTTGGGCTATCTAAGGATGTGTAAGGTCAAGTTCTCAATTTTCTATATTGTGTTTGGAAAACAAATTATAAAAAAAGAAGGCAATTATTTTTGAGCTCTTAATAAATAAACTGTTAATAATCCCGGGATTAAGAAAACTGATGTTATATTACATGCAGGTGGTTATGGGACTCTTGAGGAGCTACTTGAAGTGATAACATGGGCTCAACTAGGCATACATGATAAACCGGTAATACTTTTGTCTGCAATTTGAGATTCTGCCTTCATTGGTGATCGCTGCAATTTGAGATTCTGCCTTCTTTTTTGGCATTTTTGCAGGTGGGATTGCTGAATGTGGATGGATACTATAATTCACTACTGTCATTTATTGACAAAGCCGTGGAAGAAGGTTTCATAAGTCCAAATGCCCGGCACATCATTGTATCTGCTCCAACAGCAAGGGAATTAGTCAAGAAACTAGAGGTTATAATCTATTGGAAAATCTTCATCTCCACATATGCTTTTCTCTGTTAAATTCTCATATCTACTGCAAATTAGCAGGCGTATTCTTGTTGTGTTTTGACAATTGCATCAAATAGTTAAATACTTATTCGGCATTAAAATGACTAAAGTTTTGCATAATAGTTTATTGGCCTTGGAAATTGTTGGCAAGTGAAGTATCCCTTTTCTTTTCTACCAAAATCTGACCAACTCTCCAATTTCCCTTGGATATTTGGAACCATATGAATACGATTTTCGTTGCATTTAAATACAGATTCTTGATTTTCAGATAAAAAATGAATCTCATTTTTATAGCAATGAATAATGCATATTATAGGAAGTGTCATTGTGTTTGCTTCTTCAGAATGATTATTTTCTGATATATTTGCTTCTACTAATGAAGATGTTAGTTGAAAAATCAGATATCGTTATTTATATTTTACCTTTTTGTTATTATAGGAGTATGTTCCTCGCCATGAACGAGTTGCTTCGAAGTTGAGCTGGGAGATAGAGCGGCTTGGTTACCCTCAAACATTTGAAATTTCTAGGTGAAAATGGATTTTGCTTCTTAGAAAAGTGTAGTAGATGGAGATGTTGCAATGCAAAAAAGGCTAACTTAAAAAAGAAAAATATGATATTTTTGATTTGAAGGGAATTTTTTTTTTTTGTAAATTAACGCTGGAAAATGACCTCAGTATGAAGTTTGACTACTCCCTTCAAATGGAAGTTTGGTTTCCTTTTTTAAGTTGTAACTTGTAAGTACTAGATGCATATGAAATTTCCTTTTTAATTGTAACCATTGAAGTATTTTCCTTTGTTTTTTTTTACTGTTTTTATTATGGAATGACCTGTGTTTGAAAAATTCTTAGTGCACAGAATTCGATTACAAAATTAGATTTTATCCATGTGAAACAGTTGTATCCGATTTTATAATCGAATTTTGTGCGCTTAGGATATAGGGTGTAGTTCGGTTCTATGATTAGATTCTATGCACTTAAAATTTTTTTTATGCATTTGCTAGTTTCTATATATGTAAAGAGAGGGAGGGTGTGTTTGTAGCTCCCCATATAAAAAGGTGGGGCAAAAAGATGGGTGGTAACACTTCATCTTTTTGGCCATCTGATGGGAGATTGAAATATAAAACAAATAGTTAATTGCACTTGTCATTCATGTAGTTTGATTTAAATTTCATTTTAATCCTCATAGTTTCAAATTAAACAATTTGATCGTTACATTGTAAGTTTATTAGCCCTGCAAACACAGAGAACACTTTGAATATACATTACCCCTATTTGCTTAAGCATTGGCATAAGTGCAACTGTAAAATGGGTGGATCAAATCATTTTAACAGGGAGAGGTGATAGATCCTTTTGAGAATAACCCTTATCAGGCTCTGTTAATTTTTTTTTTGTCACTTTAGAAAATTGACGGTGTTTAAAAATTATTAAATTTAATCTCAAATTTGGATAGAATGACTACATTGAAGCTAGACTTAAAGTGTAGGTATCAAATTGTTAAATATAAAACTATAAGGATTAAAGTGAAATTTAGATCAAATTATTGGGATAAAAAGTATAACTAACCCCAAAATAAAAGACACATCAAGGTGGCTTTAGTTTTTAACAGTATCATTGTCACTTGATTTTCTAAGGAATAGAATTCCATGTATAGTTCTTCAAGATGAAAGAAACAGAGAGAACCTAAGAAACATAACTCTAGTTTACTTGGAAGGTAAAAACCACCTCATGAAAAAAATTTAAAAAAACGATCTACAAACATAATTTTTATACCAAAAAAAAGGCTTTCAAAGGATTTTTTACTGGTTAATTACAAAGGGCAATATATTGTAGAAAATAATAAATAAATAAGCACAACCAACTTGCAATTCTAATGGCGAAGGAATCAATCAAGATCATTGGATCGTTAATAAACTATCTTTTTTTAATGGTTTCTTAATGCCTTGAAGTTCAATCAAGCCATCACCGCTTTGGTGATTTCCATCGCCCAAATCTTGTTTTAAAGTTTAATCCCATGATTCTACTTAGTTGTACTGTAAATTTCTTTCCTAGAACTCAAGTATTTTCAATTGTTTACTCATTAAGGACAGTGTGTGCTGACATAAAAACATACAATTTTAGTGCATGAGACTCCCGATACTGCAAGATTTGTAAAGTGTCAAATATACATTATTACACAATTTTATCCTTGTATGGAAAGACACTGTTTTCATATATTCTGCATCAAAAATGTCTCATGCTCCCTTTTTCCCCCACCCTCTTTAACCCCCTCTCTCTCTCATTGGTTACATTTTCTTTTTCTTTTTTCTTTTTTTCCTGCTCCTCCAATCACCACCCGCCACGTGTCTGTGGAGGGGTTGTGGGGGTGGTGATTAGAGGAGGTCTCTATCATGACTCATTGTGCATTGAGATGCAGAGGAAAGTTTAAAAATATAAAAATAAAATAATTACGAGAGGCCACGTGTCGTTCATTCAGGGTATTTTGGGGTGGGGGGCAAATTATGCAATAGACATTTCATCAAACATCAGTCCAACCAACGACCAAATTGGAGGGGCCCAATTTGGGTCAATTGGAATGGAGAAGGGGAGGGGCCTCTTTTTGCCCATTTAGAGAGAGAGAACATCTACCATTGAGCAAAGAAAAATTGTTAGGTATATTCAGTGAATTAGGTGACATTACTTATTATGATATTTTTTAAAAATGAGAAATTGTAAAATATATTAAGTAAATCATCTTTTATCTTTTAATTACCTAATAAAAGCAGATCAATATGTTTTACTCATATAATTTCTCAATGCATTATTCGTTGAGAATATTACTGAATAATTACTGAATAATTACTCAGTAAAAAGTTGCAAATGTATATGATACATTCAAATTTGATATGATGTGAATTACATTTAAATTAATTTGAGCCCTTTTTTTTTTTTTTCTCCTTCTTTGCACCTTTTCTTTCGTAATTTTGTTGTGTTCGTAACATTGTTGAGCGACAAATGGGACAATTACATATCTCGCAGGGAGCAAGTCATCGATTCTTGGGCAAAGAAAGGACCACTTGCCATGGCCATTTAGGGCAAAATGATAGCTGACTTTGGCCCCATAAATTCATTTCATTGGTTTACTTAATGGTTGATTGAAATGCTACGAGCAACAACCTAAAGCATTTAGGGTGAATTACATTTAAATTAATTTGAGCCCTTTTTTTTTTTTCTCTCCTTCTTTGCACCTTTTCTTTCGTAATTTTTTTGTGTTCGTAACATTGTTGAGTGACAAATGGGACAATTACATATCTTACAGGGAGCAAGTTATTGATTCTTGGGCAAAGAAAGGACCACTTGCCATGGCCATTTAGGGCAAAATGATAGCTGACTTTGGCCCCATAAATTCATTTCATTGGTTTACTTAATGGTTGATTGAAATGCTACGAGCAACAACCTAAAGCATTTAGGTCGGCAAAGAGTCAGTTTCGAATAGGGTTTTGCTTTGGAATCGAATGAGAAACCCATAAAGGGATGTACTTTTTATATGATGTTGAAACATGGGAGGAGTGAAAAGTGAGAACCAACTCATGTCAAGCCATCAAATGGAAAAGAACTAACATGGGAAGGGTGGCCACCGCTTCTGAGAGTTTTTTGTGCATTTTGTTTATGTACAATTTTTCGACATCAAACCCTATTGTTACTATTTTGGGGTGGACATAGGAGTCTAGAGGTCTACCTAACTCGTTCATATTTTTAATGTTTGCGATTATATTTTAGGTTTAAAGAGCCATAATGGACAATATTTTTAGATCTATTTATAATTTGAGGTGAGCTTAAGTATAATGCCTGAAGCATGGTCCGGTCCGGCTTGGACCACAAATTATGGAGTATTTTGGGAAGTTGATAAAAAGTTGGCTTTTGACTTTTTACTAAGCTTTTTAGTTTTTTTGAAAATGATTTGGAAAGTTGGTAAAAAGTTGACTTTTGACTTTTTGGTTTAATATTTGTTTATGGTATCAAATCAAATTAAAATGACCAAAATATCCTTACCTAACATAAGAAATTCACTTTTTTACTTTTTTATCATAGGCCCCAATTTGTAATTTCACACTTGCATTTTTATTACTCCCCAAATGAATTTTGTTGCGTTTTTGGCCACTTTCGTTTTTTCCCCTTGGATAAAAGACGTGACTTTTTACTTTTTTTTTCCAAAACGGCACTATATATAATATATTTATACATGTACATATTACTTATAAGTAACTTGACTATTATATATAAAAAGAAAAAATTAATTTACAAATGAATTAGTTAGAAAATTGAGCTCTTAACCTTGAGCATATAAGAAAATATCAAAATTAAATAAACTATTAATATTATTGTTTTCATTTAAGTTGTGGAGTTTTACTCCCATCTAAAAAACAAAACGTTGTGGTACAAATTTATTTAATTTTAGGCTATACAGATGGATTCAGGATTATGTTGTCGTTGTGTTTTTTTTTTTTTTTTTTGTGAACAAATTTGGCAATTTAGTTTGGCTCGATTTTTGGGTTGAACCATAAATAGTACAAATTGTGATGTTGTAGAGAACAAACTTGAACTGAACCAAATCCAGACTGGCTCGACATATGCCCACCCTACTAAATTTTTGCTTTAGTGATGCTACAATGGAAAAAAAAGAGAGAAGAGTTTGAAGATGTAAAAATGTAGCTCAATGGACAAACTTCACACTATAGAATTGTGTCTTTACATGTTCTTTTTATATTATCTCTTATCTTGTAATGTAGATTGTAGACCACCCATGTGCTTGTTATAAGATGTTATAGGAATTCAAATTTCTACTTCAAACTTATTTACTCATATAACGTTTGGCCTTCGTTATTTCTTAACTGTTGTTAATATACATAATGTTATAATTCATCAGTAATTTTAGGTACTTAAAATTTTCTTCAAAAAATAAAATGATCAAAGTTTAATTCTTGTATAATGAGTCCAACATTTAAAAATAAACCTCCACTACACATTTTTTTTCCAAGCAAAACTCTGAAACGACAAAAAAATCAAAGTTTTAGAGACCAAAATTTAGAGACAAAATTAGTTTTTAGGAACCAAATATTTTAGTTGTGAAAAGTGTCATTATTATATTTTTAGGAAGGAAAATTAGACATTAGTGATGAATTATTATCCTTTTGGGACCCAATTTTTTGTCTCAAAAAATAAACTATTTTGAGACTAAATTATTTTGTCCCTAAAAGTCTATTTATTAGTGACATTTTCAAAATTTTGTAGCTAAAAGGCTTGTTTTTGACTTTTTGGGATGACTTTTTAGTGACTATCCTCATGGCAATGGAAATTGGTCCCTAAATATTTTTTGCAACAAAATTTTCACTTTTAGAGACCAAATTTGATCTCTAAAATTCTTATATGTTGTAGTGTGAGTATCAAAAATTATTGACCAATTATAGACAATGAACTTGTTAACCATGCAATATACAAAGGGAAGGTCACGTTTTATTTATTTATTTTGAAATTAACAAGAATTTCAATTGTAAAATATAATTTAATTAGTGTGATGCAAGCCAGATTTAAGAAAAATATAATTTTAAAAGGTATGTATATATGTATATACAAATAAGTATACATGTAGTGAACGAGCAAGGATTTTCTGTCTCCAAATAATCCTGTCCCCCTGTCCCAATTCACTTATAACCATTGGATCATATGAGAATTCCAAGATGTAAAAATCTCAAGGCATATTCAATGATTATAAGTGAATTGGGACAGGAAAACATAGTTATTTGAGGATAAAGGATCCT